TATCTTCGAGATTGTTTGAATCCTTCTGATCTAAATATCGATCTAGGGCTCACGGTAAGGGTTTTCTAACCTAGATTTGCTAAGTTCACTCAAGATCTGTAAAATCTCATGGTTAAAACAACGATTTGGAATATATTTTTGGTTGATGTTTGTAGATTCACTTGCATTTTTTCCCCAAATCTAGCTTATTTCTTGCATTTTTGCTTTTGTTTTGTGTTCTGTTTTTTCGTTTGTGGTCTCTTGCTCTTTCTAGTCCATGCAATGGGATACATGGAAAGTTTTTCTCGTTCATGGAGAATGGATTTTGTCTAGGGTTTCGCGTGCAATGTCAATGTCTCCAGGCAATTAGCGGTTTAACGATCTAGAGACGTAGATCTTATTCTCAGATCTGCTATCTCTTCGATCAGATCTGTAAATATCAGCTCTAAATTCTGTTTGTTACTTTCTTCTAGTGTTGATTGGATTTATGTTTCAGCCACAATACTATTTTGAGCAGGTGGAAATTGTGTTTTATGTTAGTTGTTGACATAGAATTTAATTTGTTGACATAGAATCAAATCCTCAAACCAAACACAGCCTCAAGGATTTTTAATTTTTATTTATAGTGATATTTAGAAATTCCTAATTCCTGAAGTTTAATGTTAAAAGTTGTTGATTTTTTCTTTCTTTTTCTATATCCATCTCTTGACCGACCACTTGATCAAATTCTACTGGTCTATTTATTTTTTTTAGTGATTTTGGAGCTTTTCTTGTACATATATATTGCTTTGCCCTGCTTTTAATTCATACAAATGTTGAAGTGTGTGGAAATTGTTAGATTGTTGGCAAATGTTGCAAACAATAGCTTTCATGATTTGGAATTGTGTTGAATTTTAGTGTTTGAGGAAACGTGCAATAATAATCGTTTAGTATGGTGAAAGCTTATTGAGCTATGATGTAGCAAGCAAAGGACCATTTTTTATTGTTCACTACGCAATTAATTATTGAATGACATGAGTTGTGATGATTGTCAATTATCCATTGAATTTGAATGCTGAAACTTTTGACAAGGAGATAAAAAGCATGATTACAGATACTTTTTGTTCACAGGTTTTGAAAGTGTTCCCATATCCAATTACTATAACCAGCGTTCAGTTTGCCGTTGGGACTATACTTGTTCTTTTCATGTGGACATCTAATCTCTACAGACGGCCAAAAATTAGTGGTGCACAGGTATTGTTATGTATGACGGGATGAATGTCTCATGTATTTAGGTTGCCATTATCATGATGACTCTGATTAATATGTCTTTTTCTATGACAGCTTGTAGCAATTCTCCCATTAGCAGTGGTGCACACCTCAGGCAACCTTTTCACAAACATGAGTATTGGAAAAGTTGCTGTTTCATTCACTCACACAATTAAAGCCATGGAGCCCTTCTTCTCAGTTGTCCTCTCTGCTATGTTTTTAGGGGAGGTGTGCATTTCATATGTTTTCTTCCCATCCTGAGGAAAAAAAAAAAAAATAGACAAATATCAATTTTGTTAAAAATTAATTTGTAAAATTGAAGTTATGGGATTTTAAAATTTTTTAGATCAAAATAAATACAAGGGTAAATCTGTCTAACAAAAAATGAATTTCCTTTTGGTTTTAAGAATTTAGTGTCTGGTAGTTTTACTTGTACCACCAATTTATCTTCTTACACCATTTTTCTAATTACACTTTTTACAAAATTGAAATTTTTAAATTTTTCTCTTACACTTTCCATAATTCTAAACCAATCCTCATTATTACTATTTTTTGTTGGAAAATTTTAGAAGTGAATGGGAATTGACTCTATTTGAATGATTTCTCTCCCTTGCCATCTGGTTGGAGTGACAAATTTTTTTTAATTATTATTTTATTATATAAAATAACAATGAAGTTAGTACACCCATTTAATTTGCCATCAATCATTTTTTTTATATGTTTATGAAAATATTTGCTTGTAATTTCTTATTTTTGTTGTTGACTACTATTGGTGGTGCACACAACACAACATAGGAATGTTGTATGAAATAATTTAATGATTTGTAGAGTTCATAATGGCAAATGTTCATTATTGTGAAAGTTGTGTTTTAACTTTTAACCAATCTATTTCTTCTGTTGCAAGAATAGATACCCACCTTGTGGGTGGTTGCTTCTCTGTTACCAATTGTTGGTGGAGTGGGACTGGCGTCAATGACAGAGGCATCTTTTAATTGGTGAGAAAATACACACACATTTGCTTTAAATTGTTTCTCACCCTTTTTGTTGTCAAAAACTCTGAAAAAGGGGGGAAAAAGTATATAGAGATCACACAGCATTCTGCCTGTAGGTTCCGTTTTACCCATGTCCAGTTTGGATTTTTCTATATATGATCAAAAGTAGTCGAAGTTGTTATCCCAGATTCTCATGCACAATCTCACTTATTTTTTTGTTTTTCTGTATGTGAAACAGGCCTGGGTTTTGGAGTGCAATGGCTTCTAATTTGACCAACCAATCTCGTAATGTCCTTAGCAAAAAGTTTATGGTCAAGAAAGAGGTATTCACTTATGGTTTCATTTCCTTGATGTCATGTACTACTAACTTGGTATAGTTTGTTCTTTTCCTCATTGATGAAATTTGATAGATCGAAGTGCTGTAAGGTGGAACAATTTGTTATTTTCTTTATTTACTTTGGGTACTTCTAGAAAGTTGGTAGCAACAAATAATTTGTCATGATTATATGTATAGATAAGATTATTCTTGTTCCCCAGTGAAAAGGAAGATTACTGTGTGTGTGTTTGTCTCAGCATGTGTTCTATTATTTTATTTTATTTTCTCAAGTACGTAACTAATATTGATCTTTTGCAGGAATCTTTGGATAACATTACTCTCTTCTCAATTATAACAATTATGTCCTTCTTGTTGACTCCATTTACTCTTTTCATGGAAGGAGTCAAGGTCACCCCTGCATACCTACAATCTGCTGTGAGTAAATCTAGAATGCTACGAATTGCTTCTATTCAGTTATCTATTTGTTCACATAAAATGCATCATTTTTGCGTTAGGTTTTCTGATTTTTTTTTTTTTGCTTGTCAGGGGTTGAATGTCAGACAGCTTTACATTAGATCTCTCCTTGCTGCACTCTGCTTCCATGCATATCAACAGGTAAGAAGTTCAACTTCAATGTTTCTTTCATTTTCGATTTTTAAATTCATATATTATATGTTCTTGACGTCTCTTTGTGTATAGTTTGTGATCAGTAATTGGTTCAAATTAAAGTTTGAAAATATTATACTTGTTGTACCTTGAACTTGACTGTAGAACCCGTTGCATTGCATTATTAAACTGTAACATTTACTTTTAATATTTCTTTTCTGTACTAGAAAACTGAAAAAAAATAAAATAAAAGAAAAGAACTCTGTAGAAGAGTTAAGATGGTCTGAATGTTGACAAGTTCAATTGAAAATGGCACTGTCCTATTGTTGCTCCCATGGCAATTTTTGAAATATCTTTTATATGCTTCTGATATTTTTACACCAAAGTGATTTGTCATAACTTTTTGTGAAATTAGACTCTTTTTTGTTGTAATGATAGATTATTATGATCTCTCGGAATTCTTGAAGTTGTAAGGTTGAAACCTTTTTTCTCATCATCATCATACATGATTGGACGTTCTTCAATCATCACATTACTTTTGCTTCTTGATGTTTGATTTGCTTGTTTCTTATAATCATATGTTTTGCACTGTTGATGAGATGATTGACCGATTCTTTCAGCCACTGATTCTCATAAATTTTTATTTTCACCCAAAGCGTGACTATTTATTTAGTTCCTTGTGTTCAAATTGATTATATCTGTGCTTTTTGTTGGTCATTATACTGCTTATTTCTTTAAACTTTGGGTGGTTTTTTTCCCCTCCTTTTGTACTTGAGGGTTTTTAAAGCCAGCTGCTGAGTTCTAGTTCTGTGAAAAGTGTTGCCAATCTTTTTTTTAAAGATGTCATATAAGATGCAGTTCACCTCTTATGTTCTATCTTGCATTGAGTCAAGTAACTGGTGAGAGAGCATGTTCTTGTATTTCAATACTGGATGAAGATGATCAGAAACTGTTGAAATGGTTGAGATTGTTGCTAGATTTGTGGCCACTTAAACAAAGAATTTGATTGTCTTATTTGCTAGCTTGCTATAATTGACATTTCTAAGATTGCGCTTTCCCTTGTTGAGCCATTTTCTGCAATCTTATAATAGCATGTATAGTTTGTAGATCAACTCCAATATCATTGCAATTTGGGTGATACTCATTTTGGATTAATTTTGGTTTTAAGCCACTGCTTTGTCAATTATGATGAATAGGACTTGCCATTTCATGTATTATTGCTACAAGTTAAAGATCGCATTTTCTTTTAGCAAATGAATCATCAAATAGTTAGGGTGTGATTACTAAAGTGTGTTATGATCATCATAATGATTTGAATGGGAGATTCCATATATTAGGAGGAAAAGTTTGGCACTCAAATATAGATATGGGTATATTGGAGCATGTGAAAATGTTATCCTATTAGATCATCTGTATAAAATAATGAGATTTTGCGCAGGCAACCAACTAAGGTAATTTGATTTGGGTTGGCAACACGCAGGACAGAGAATAATCATAAGTTTGTATTATAAGCTTCTTTTTTTTGGGGGGGGATTAGGTTCATCTTTCTGAGCAATTTAAAAACCTTCCAAAATTAGTTATTCTTGTGTTTTCAACAAACAATTAAAAATATTTATAGCAATTTTGGTACTCTAGACCATAGTCATTAAATCGGGATACACAATCATGAATCGAAAGGGCCTAGAACCGAATCGCGAATTGCATTGAATCATGAATCGTAAATCATAAATGTTTGGTCACTTCTTTAAATTACTTGGAAAAGTATACACTTAAATATATCTTATAAAAAAATAAATATGAAATATTTGAACTTGAGTCAATAAAAATGTTGTCTTGAATGATGATCACATGGTCTAATAGGTGTCTTGTATATACTTACTGTTCAAGAAAAGAGATTCTGAAAGAATTCTTGTAACTTATTGTTGAAAAAAAGAAATATAAACTAAATACTATCGAACTATTGAGTTTAACTGCTTCAACTCATATCATACTAAACTATAGTTATTTCACAAAAATAGCAATAAATAATTCGTGGGTAAAAGTATTTTTAGTGTTAACCATCCTTAAAATATGTATTTCAACATTTGTTTCCTCCAAAAAAATATTAAAACAATGGTTAATAACCTATTGAGTTTGAGCAACAATATCATACATGAGTATTGGCTAATATCTTACTAAACACCCTTAAGAAGTATCTTAGAGGGAAAAAAAATAAAGGTTAGAAACAGTGTGAAATTTATAATCTCTGACATTTTAAAGAATCATGTGAATCATAAATTTTATCAATTCATCAACAAGTCTGTCAAATAGATTCACCTATAAGATTCATATCGATTTTTGTGAATTGTGAATCGAATTGAGATTCAAATTGTGAATTGTAAGATTCTAACAACTATGCTCCAGACTTCAGAAAGAAACTTTAGAATGAATTCTTTAGCTATGAGTCTAGTTTTGCATCTCTTTATCAAGTTAGCTGCTTTGAAGATTCATGATTAAGATATGTATAGATATCCTGACTGGTCATTTTTGTAATTGTTCTTGCATTCATGGATCGGGTTGAAAATCAGAGAGTAGGTTGTTTACACCAATAAATGTTTCCAATTGAAAAAGTTTTTACTGATTGTTCCATAATAATTACCTAACAGAGTGATCGTGGTGACTAAATTTGATAAATTTCTCCAATGTTGCCCCAATGTTGCCCCAAAGGGCTTATTGCCTAGGAGGTCGCAAGATTGAATCCCATGAAGGCCAAACATCCCAAACCTTGTTGGAGCCACTGAAGGTTTGCCCAGTCATTAATTTCAGGGCCTCGGGATTAGTCAAGGTGTGCATAAGTTGGTCCGGACACCCGGTTATGAAAAATAAAAAAATATGCTGCTTATAGTTATTGTTGTGAATGTTAGGTTGTTAAGAAATGGTATTTCCATTCAATTGGCATTGCCAGATTGAGAATTTGGAGAGATTTCCAGAAAATGAGAATGTTAGGTTGTTAAGAAATGGTATTTCCATTCAATTGGCATTGCCAGATTCAGAATTTGGAGAGATTTCCAGAAAATGAGAAAGATGGAGAAGAAATTTTGTTAGCACTTAAAAGGTGCTGATTTTGTTAGCAGTTAAAAGGTAGCTGGCGGCATAAAAATTTGGACACAATGCTTTTTTTTAGTCACGTGCAACAAAGATTAATACTGCATCGACGCGTAGTTACATGGTCAAACTAAAGGAGCTGCAAGAATAATAATCGTGGTAGCAAATGGAATTAATCTTTTAGAGAAGTTACAGCTTTATGCTCAAAAAATGAATGGCCTATTGTTTTGTGAAATTGGGAAGTTTAAGGGAAATGGTCACAAAGTGCTCTATATATAGAGTTGCTCAGCATCATCATTTCTGAAGTCATCCAACTTTATAGGATTTTGCCTCAGCTTTTCTGGTTTCACTCCATTGTACCTTTCCCAGTGTGATGGGTATTAGCTTGTCAATTTGTTTCATTTTAGTCTCTTAACCTCTTAACTATAGTTTCAATGCACTTTTTTTTCTGAACAATTATAGAAAGTTCTACTCTTATTTCATATCATTTGAAATAAGTTTATTATTATCTATTTTGTTGGATTTTTTAGTACTTTTCAGATAATCTGCCTACTTAATAGGAATTGCAATTTTCTTCGCATGGCCAATACAGTGAATTGTATCGAAGACTACACTTTGACAAATGCCTTGACAAGTTGACACCGAAATATTACAGTTTAAGCGGTTAAATCTCAATTCATAAAAGCAGTAGATAGCCACAAGGCTAGAAGACTACTCCATTCCAGTGCCACAAAAATTAATCTTTTAGAGAAGTTACAGCTTTATGCTCAAAAAATGAATGGCCTATTGTTTTGTGAAATTGGGAAGTTTAAGGGAAATGGTCACAAAGTGCTCTATATGTAGAGTTGCTCAGCATCATCATTTCTGAAGTCATCCAACTTTATAGGATTTTGCCTCAGCTTTTCTGGTTTCACTCCATTGTACCTTTCCCAGTGTGATAGGTATTAGCTTGTCAATTTGTTTCATTTTAGTCTCTTAACCTCGTAACTATAGTTTCAATGCACTTTTTTTTCTGAACAATTATAGAAAGTTCTACTCTTATTTCATATCATTTGAAATATGTTTATTATTATCTATTTTGTTGGATTTTTTAGTACTTTTCAGATAATCTGCCTACTCAATAGGAATTGCAATTTTCTTCGCATGGCCAATACAGTGAATTGTATCGAAGACTACACTTTGACAAATGCCTTGACAAGTTGACACTGAAATATTACAGTTTACGCGGTGAAATATTACAGTTTACACTGAAATATTACAGTTTACACTGAAATATTACAGTTTACGCAGTTTACAGTTTACAGTTTACGCGGTTAAATATTTCAGTGTAAAATCTCAATTAATCTCAATTCACAAAATATTACCTAAATTTTCCATCCATTTCCCTTTTTTTTTTTTCCCCCCCCTCAAATCACTGTCCAAATCCATGATCTAAACACAAGATAAGTGAGACTATTTCATGATGTAGAGATTCTAGAAACGTGCTATTAGATACATATAAAATAAAAATAAAAAACTCACTGCATTCTTTTGTTCTGTAATCATCTAGTTAATGGATTACTTTCTTGTAAAAGTGCTGACATGAGCTTGTGTTGCAGGTTTCTTATATGATATTGCAGAGGGTATCCCCAGTCACCCACTCTGTGGGTAATTGTGTGAAGCGGGTGGTGGTTATTGTGACCTCTGTTCTCTTCTTCCGAACACCTGTTTCACCTATCAACTCTATGGGTATGATAGCTTACATTGGATCTCCCACACGCTACGCTAATAATATAACAATGTTTTATCATCAGAAAAGACTGGTCTTCTCATCATTATTTTTCTTCTTCTATCGAACCCCTGAGAGATTATTGTTTTCCTGTCTTTTTCTGCAGGCACTGGAGTAGCCCTAGCTGGAGTGTTCCTGTATTCGAGGGTGAAGCGCATAAAACCAAAGCCGAAGGCAGCTTGAAGTTCTTTTGTTGAGAATTTTTGCTGGTAACTTGGGGGTTTAGATGAGAAAATAGACATTATGACATTCAATGTTTTTTTTATTTTTTATTTTATTTTGAAATGGTATCATTCTTTTACTAGGTCCCCAAAATTTTACTGGTTGCAAATGTACGTGATGATCTGGGAAAACCATTTCATGTTGTGTTTTGTTTTTTTGGATTAGCATTTGTCCAGTTATGCTGTGTTTGGTTGGGAGATTTGAGCAGTGATTTGGAAAGGAAAAAGGAAAAGTTAGGTAAAATGCGATCCTCTCTCATTTGAAAGTGGAACCTTGGATCATCTCCTTTGGTCTGTAATAATATCATACATGCCATTTGCCAAAATTTGGCCAGAGTTCAACAGGAAAGCACTCCAACAAAGCTCTTCAACAGTTGCTATATCACATTATCACTAATCAAATTTTGGCAATTGCTAAATTTTGAAAATGAGTTCATTTGTCATCAGATGGTTGAGAATTGTGCAACAATCTCAAGTATAGAATAAGCTCAAGTACAGATTAAGAGATTAGCTTAGTGGATGAATTAAGGGATTAGCCTGGTTGAGAATTGTTTACCATTGTTCTTATGGACTAAGGAGTTTGTCTAGTGGATCAAGCATTCTTATATATTAGTTTTGTCGAGTTTTATAATTACAGTTAGTTTTTAGAAACAAAGTAATACCCAGGTGTCTATGAAACGTGTTGTTCAGGTTACAAAAATCCATATGCAATTGCCCTTTTTTTCCATCATACATTATTTAATAACAGATTGAGTAAATTACACTGATCTATCCTCGGGTATGGAGAAAATAAATGTAGTTTTACAATTTTAGTGTAAATTACATTGATCCTCTTTCTAGTAAGGTTAAAATGATTGAAATTAATACAAAGTGTGAAATCACAATAGTAAACATGAAAAAACATATATTTCAATGTAAAATTTGACATTATCATTTTTTTATTTGTATGATTAACGAATTATTGATGAAAAAGGAGTTGTATGAAGCAAAATCTTAAGAAATCTTAATGTGATTATGTTAAACTTGATGTATTTTTCCAAATTGTAGGAGAGTTCAATTTACCCTAACTGATAATAGAGTCAATGAACCATAATTTTCATAGGAAAGGGTAGCGATGACTTGAAATAGCCAGGAATGTTTGATAACAGATTCCAGAGCTAATGAACGGTAATCTTCAAATTGACATGACTTGGCTTCTGTCAATACTGCTAAGTTTCTCTAGAAAGTATGACACAATTACTTTAGCAAAAGATCGTTGTTGTAAAGACAGTTGTTCCCTCTTAAAAGTTTATTATTATTATTATTATTTTAAGTGGTCATCTTTTTTTACCTTAAAATAAAAAAAAATTAAAAAAAAAAAGTGGTTGCCCTTTAAATCTATGAGAGACATAGGATCAAAATATAAAATTAAAAAAATTGGATAAAATATAATAAAAGAAATTAATTTCTTATAACTACTGTCAATTACAAGTTTTAAGATGCAAAGAATAGAATAATGTGCCAATTAATTACTTGATTATGTTCATTAAAAAAGATATTTAAATGTCAATTCTATCATGAGTTATGCTATAGACCACTAATTTGATATCACTAACCTCACCACTAGTGACTTGGCAATTCAAAAAAAAAAAAAAAAAAAAAAACAAAATCAAGGCACAAATACACTGTGGCAGTGGGTGGGACCCACTGCCACATCATTAGAGTCACCACTAATTAGTGGTCTAAGGCATTTTCCTTTTCTTTATATAAAATTGGTCACCGTCACACAGGAAGCCATGTAACCACCAGATTACATGGAAAGTCATCTGTTGGATACTAATTTGGCAACCTGACATTTGCAGATTTCTTTACCAGCACATGATCAAGCTTCAGTCTTCGGGTCCCACTATGGATGGTATCAAAAAGTGGTATTTGGTACCATATATAAAAATCATTTTCAACCATTAGATTTAGGTCAAGTTTGGGAAGACTAAATAAGTGCACTTTTTGTCTTTTTAAACTAAAAAGTTGAGGTTGAAAATATGAATGTTTGGGTTAACTTTTTGACTTTTTATGGAAAAATGTGTAATAAAAAATTGTAAAAATTGATTTGTAGGAGATAGGGAAAAATTAGAATTAGGAATTGTACAGTCGTAATTGTTGACTTTTGGTGAATAGTGATGACTTTTTAACTTTTTGAGTAACTTTTTGACTTTTTAACTTTTTTTAAACAACCCAAACTTGGCCTTAAATCTTAGCTATTCAAAACCAAAACAAGTTAGGTTAAAATAAAAAATAAATAAAAGAAAGTAATCGGTTACCACCGGTCAATAAACTCTCTCTCTCTCTCTCTCATCTTCCGTGAGTATGCAACTCTCTTGCTTTTATCTCGGAACTCGGAAAATTTTATTATAGCGCTGTTTGGGAAGCCTCAAACGAGGCTATTGTAGCCTATTTCCATAAAATAGCCCAAAAACCCCACTTTTGCCAACTTTTTCAAAAAATTAAAAAAAAAAAAAAAAAAAAAAAAAAAATAGCCTGCACGCTGGACAGTGTAGGCTGTGCCTACACTGTCACAGCCGGCAATTGTTCCATCAACAGCTGAATTACCGTTTTACCCCTTAGCCTATAATTAAAAAATTATAATTGTAGGGACAAAATGGTCATTTTAATTACAAACATCTTTTCAACACTTTTTTAAATACACCAACTCAAATAAAAATTTAACCCAACTTCCCAAACACAAAACTAAAATAGCCTACTAAAATAGTTAAAAAGCCAAATAACCTACTAAAATAGCCACTTCCCAAACGAGGCCTATATATGAAAATAATTTTTATGCATAGTACATAAAAAATATATATATATAAATTATTAGATTTAGACAAGATAAATACTAATTAGTGTGTTTTGTTTAAGTTTTTTAGATTAAGTTTTTTGAAAATTGATTTTTTTGATTTTTGTGTTTTTTTGTTTTTAGTAAATATTTTTAAAATTTTAAATTTTTTTTTACTTTTTTAGATGCACGTTATTTAGATGTATCTAAAAAGTAAAAAATTTGTGAAAAAATATTTTAAAAAATTAATAAATACATAAAAATATAAAAAATATACTGAATTCTTGTATTTTTTTATATTTTTGGTATTTAGTGAATTTTTAAAAGATTTTTTTTACAATTGTTTTACTTTTTAGGTGTATTTATGTTAGATGTGTCTAAAAAGTAAAAAAATTGCTAAAAATATTAAAAAAATTCAGTAAATACAAAAAAATACGAAAAATAAGAAAGTAAAATTTTCTGAAAAGTATTTTTTGAAAAATAGAAACAAGCAAGGTGAATAATTGCATGAATCAAAAGTAAAACTAGGTAGAAAAAGTAAGATGATTTTCTAAAAAGTAAAGGAGCTTTGGTTAATTTTGAAATTAAAAAAATAAAATAATGATAACTTACCATTTGCTATGAATATTGGTATTCACTCACTTACTATTTGTTATGAATAAACTTACCATTCAAAATATTGCCTGCTAAACAAGTCATCTTCAATTCTTGAAAATTGTATCATCTTTTATATTTTAAATTAATTTTAAATACATAAAACTAATGACATACCATATTTAATTATTTTTCTCTATAGTTTGTTTTGTTATGATTTGTAGAAAGTAAAATATGATATGTAAATATTAATTTATTAAATTTGTTAAAATTTACTAATTATTTTTCTCTACGCATGGCCTTATCCTCATCGGTGAGACTCTCTCTCTTTAAGATTCACCCTCTCTCTATAAATATACCAAGATCTAACCATTTCTCCACCCTACTCCCTTTATTAAAAAGGTAGAGCTCATCTAGAGCTTCGTTTTCATCCGAATAGAGTTGGGTTTTGGCTTCATCCGAGTTTCATCAATGTTTATCTCGTCTTTTAGCTTTGAGGTAGGGATTCTTTACACGTTTGTATGATTTTTAACTTAGTTATTTGTTTTTATAAAATAATCTTGTGATTTTGAAGAATTTTAAACAAACCTAAGGTTTTGGTTTAGAATCAAAATAGGGGTGTTCTAATGGATGTATTGAAAATGGTTGTGGGAGTGGAGATGGGGTTGAGTTGTGATAAAACTATTGATTTTGATACTTGGAATGAAATTTTAAAAAAAGAAAAGAAAAGAAAAGGGTTTTGCCCTAAATGTCTCAAATGGTTATTTTATATAAATAAATGGAATTGATGTTGGAAATGTAAAATTGGATGGATATTGATATGAATGTTGGAGTTAGATATGTATTATCATTCCTATCTTGAAATTTGGAAAGATTATATGTATTGGAGATTTTACATTTGTTTAGAAATATCTGTTTTGGGCTATCGGTGAAGGATAACTATGATTGTTGTAGAAATTGCAGGAGGATTAGGTAAATGGAAACTAATTTCTCATCCATTTGCATTGAGCATGATTATATCTTTAATACATTGTATATGTACAATGTTTTTGAGAAAGGGAATGTATTCCATTGAACTAAGTTGGCATGTGTGTCTGTTGGCTACTTATTTTGTACAAGCCAATTACAATTCGACGCGTGGCAACGTAAGGGTAGTATGGGAAGACTATTCAAATCTTCGATCCTGATCGTACACGTGGCAGTTAGTATTGGTTGTTACGAGATCTGAGTAGCAGTGGATCAGTAGAGAGATACAATGTGATGTGGCATCATCGGTTACTCACATTTGAATTCAAATTTAGGAGGGAAGCCTAATTGCAAGTGATGGCGTAATGGAGCTAATCTTGAGGCAACATGATCAGCAATCATGGAGGAGCAGTTCGACGGTTGAAAATATAGTTCGATGGTCATCCTTAAACAGTATAAATAGCAGAGAAGGCCCCAAAAAAGACCCCCAGACTCAGATAAAAAAAACCAGTCTTATTCTACTTTACTTAGTTTTACATTTCTTGTTCTTTACATTCTAGTACTTTAAATTCTGCACTGCACTTCATTCATAGGAGTAGTTTCAAGTAGATTATCGCTGTAAACCTCTACGAGGATGAGTTTGAATCATTGTAAGTTTTTCATTCTAATGAAATGCTTCAGTTGTTCTTTATTTGATTGATATTTTGCTTAATTTTCTTAAATCAAGCCACCAGTAAAAGTCCTCTTCATTGAGGCTGAGAGAGCTAAAACACAATCGTCTGATAATTGGTTGGCAATTAAATTTCTGTAAGGACTGATTGATCCTTGTTGGCACGCTTGCAATTACAATAATAACCTTCGAAAGCCAAAAAGCCAACAGTGTCCAGGGTGAAAGTCCCGAAAACTGCGCTTATACATGGGTGTCGAATCCTGCCAACCAGAATTATGATTCACTGCCCTGTTTTCTAATAAAAAGAAGATGATTCTTGAATTTTGATATAAATTGG